ATGATGAAAGATGATGATGATGATGATGATGAAAGATGATGATGATGATGATGAAAGATGATGATGATGATGATTATGATGATGAAAGATGATGATGATGATGATGAAAGATGATGATGATGATGATGATGAAAGATGATGATGATGATGATGAAAGATGATGATGATGATGATGAAAGATGATGATGATGATGATGAAAGATGATGATGATGATGATGAAGGAGGAGAGAGAAGCAGGAGAGATGAGCAGGCTGAGCCTGACGACCGGGCAGCACTTTGAGTGGGATGATTATGAGGCGGCCAAAGTCGGCAGTAGCGGCCGCACCGAGGCCCTGCGCACCCTCATTCCCACCTCAGACGGCCACATAGACGGCGTGGTCAAGGTCGCCAAGGAGGGCCGGGCTCCGCTGCAGAGCTTGGCGGAGGACCTCCAGCGAGAGGCGCGGAGGATGAGGGAGGTCGGCGGTGAGCCGCCACAGGGGAGCCCGCCCTTCCTGCCTCTGCTGTTTGAGGACGCTGATCCCACGCACTGTCCGACGTTTCGTAAGGACGGGACAGAAACGAAGTGCGTGGCAATCGGCATGCCTCTCATGGCAGGTCAGCCGAATTGAATGAATGCAAGACAGGCACACACAGGTCCATTCGTTCTCTCAATCTTCTTTTGCTGTGGTGGGATGTATTGTCTGTGTGGCTACAGCTGAGGAGTGGGTGGAGCAGTCGGGTCTTCTGCTGACATACGACAACGAGGCGCGCGCCGGCGCCCCGCCGCACAACCTCCACACCATCGTGGATGCAGCTACAGACGGCAGCACGGCCGAGGAGAGAAGGGCTATCGCACGTGACCTGTTGGTCATAACCGACGCCCTCGCTCTCCTCACCAAAGGCTACCTCTGCGCCGCTGAGCGGGGCCTCCTGCTCATGGACCACTTCATGAGGAACATCTTCCTGAAGAGGTCGGCCCTGCAGCTCTCCACAGCACCATCGCAGCAGACGCCCCTGCCCGCCCCCACATCCGCCGCGGTGGAGGAGTCCGTCCGCTTCATCGACATGGCAGACATGGTCAAGGTGCAGCCCTCCCCCCTCGCCCCTCCCCCCTTCATGGGCCCCAACAGCACCCTCATGCACCTCCGCGAGGCCCGTCGAAAAGCCGCCGACCAGACACACAACGCCACGTGCTACTTGCGCCCACCAGAGATGGTGCTGGCCATGGTCGCAGCGGCCGAGGAGGATGGCGAGAAGAAGGCGGCGGACCCCTCAGCCATCACCATGTACAAGAAGACCATGAACCTCAACCCCCGCAATCCCTCAGCCAAGCTCAATCGCATCCGGGCGGCATACGCCAACCTCAAGAAGGAGCTGGTGGCTGAGGGCGTGTTGGTTGGTGAGGGCGAGACCGAGGCCATCTGGATAGGGCGGCCCAGCCTGAAGTGGGGGGCGTCCATGCTGGCCAACCCGGTGCTGAGAGGGCAGTCGCTCCAGAGTGAGCTGGCGGAGGGGCAAGGCGTCCACGCTATCGTGAGGGCGGAGGTGACGACTATGGTGGAGTGGGCGCAGGAGATGTCTAAGTGGGTGCGGAAAGACGGCCGTCCCCTGGATAAGGACGGGGATGTCTACTGCCCCCTGGATGGGGAAACTTGCATTAACCGTAATACTCGTCTGTGTGTCCGTGATACTCATAAACATACAGTCCCATGAGCACGCAGAGTCAAACGCTCACGGGGAGGAGGGATCGATCCCCGCCCCATCAGCACACCCCAGTTCTGCAAACCCTCCCCTCCCTCCCCCACGCAGACAGTAGCTAGTCGCACGCGCGAGGGCGATAGACAAGCGAGAGCGAATCCATCCAGACACATGACTGAACCCCCGACCCTTCCACCCCTCCTTCTCCAACAGCGCATGAGCCATATGGGCGATGAACACATTGGCATCGTGTCCCCACAC